CTCTCTCTCTCTCTCTCTCTCTCTCTCTCTCTCTCACACACACACACACACACACACACACACACACACACACACACACAAAAGATCACTGCCTTTTTTTTGGGGGGGGGGGGGGGGGGATAGCATGAAAACGGAGGGGGCCGGCGGGGAGCCGAATGTCATGGCGGACGAAGCGGAAAAGAAAACAAAAAAAAAAAAAAAAAAAAAAAACCTATATTATGCAGCAAAATAAACTGAACAACTTTTGCGTCAGGGTCGCATTGAAATTCTTTACCAAATTTCAAGTAAAAATTTAAATAAAAAAAATCATTTTATTTTTTTATGTTTTTTATTTCTTTATTTTTTTCTTTATTTTTTTTTGGCCCGGCCGGGCAAGTGGACCCAGGCCACTCTGGTGGCCTATGTTTTTTTTTTTTTTTATTGATTGATTGATTGATTGATTGATTATCAGTGGAAGGGACGCCTCCCCCGCGCGAACACACACACACACACACACACACATACACACACACACAAACGATCGTGACCCTTTTTTTTTTTTTTTTGATTGATTGATTGATTGATTATAAGTGGGGGGTCCCCTCCCCCCCGCGAACAGACACACAAACACACACACACACACACACACACACACATAAACGATCACCGTCTCTTTTTTTTTTTTGTAATTGATTGATTGATTGAGAAGAAGTGGGGGGGTCGTCTCTCCCCCACGAACACACACACACACACATACACACATACTTTGACACACATACACACATACTTTGACACACACACACACACACACACACACGCACACGCATACATAAACAAAGACAAGTGTGACGATGTATATTTGAATGTTCTAGCGGTAGATTCATTAGACTTTGCTTTTTTTTTTCTCCTTTTTCCACAACAGTTTTTTTTTTAATAAAAAAAAAAATGCTAACGTGAACCTCGAGACCCCCCCTACCATCCCTGAGGGTCAACCCCCCCTCCCCTCCCCCCCACACCAAGCCCTGGCACGTTCGGATGGAGACCGTCCATACGCTCATATGGTTGTCCGCCCGTCCATACACACGGGTCGTACGGAGACCCCCCGTATGACGTACGGGGGACGACACTGGTGTTAGGTTTGTACGCCCACCATTGTTCTCCTTCCTTTAGCACCCTAATTCGAAAGATTTCCTCTTCTTTAAACCACCTTCTCTCTTCTAGATTCGTCTTGACTAGTCTATTTTTGCTCTTAATTTGAAAGAGATTCACCAACACCTCTCCATCCGGACGACCAGACACCAGCACATTTCCCACCCGGTCTACACACTCTCTGATCCCTACCCAATCACTTTCATCCAATATTCGCCCTTTCTTCAGAATCCTTACCAGGCCAGTGACATCGAAAAAATTATTCTTTCAAGAGTTTCTCCAAAATTATGAAAATATCGTAGTCGCTCCCTCAACTGGGCTTCAGTGATCCAGTCTCTGGTGTCCCAATCCCAGATATCTCCCACTCTAAGGACGCCCTGACTCACCCACCCCCTCGAGGGGGTTTCGGTGCAAAGAAAGATTGAGCCTTGGGAGTCAATGACCCACCGGTTCCCGAATAATGGTTATCTATACACCTCTTCCCACCGTCGCGGGGCCACCTTGTCTGAGAGCGGTAGCTTGCACCAAGTGTTGAGGAGTGTGGTCCAAAAGGGGTCATTTTTAATGTCTCTCCTTACCGCTCGTCTATCAGATTCTTGCTCCTCATTTGGTCTCATTGTCTTTCGTGGTATACTCCAATATTTGTCCTCTAGCCACCCGATTGGGTCTATGCTTTCAGGGTTGGGGGGGGGAAAGCCTTCTGATCTGCTGTAGGGTCAGTTGTCGCCAGGGGATATCCGTATCGAACAAGAGGTTTTTTGCCCATTTTAGGGTCAGGGCCATAATCTGTGTGGTGGGATCGAAGATCCCCAACCTCCTTTGGATTTCGGTTGGATAATTGCGTGCCAAGCGACTCTACTAATCACGCTTTTACATCCGTGGTTTCCTCTTCAGGGAAAGGCCACTACCTGTCTCTGGAGGGGGGGCAATGCTGTCTTGTTGAGAGACCATATGGCTGTCTTATAGCATACAGATGCCAACACAAAGTTGTTGATGACAAGGGCCCTTCCCATTAATGATGTGTGTTGATCCTTCCACCGTCACAGTGTCAGTTTTTCCAAGACTGGTTGTGTTAACCAGTCATCACTGGTTGGTGGACGACCCTCAACGGTCTGTATCCCCAAGATTCTGATAGGTGAGTTGGTTGGTACCCATCTTACCCTCGGGGACTCTGGTGGCCTACAGCCTTGGTAGAGGATCCACCACCCTTCAGTCTTGCTCCCCAGTTCACTCTCATATCTGACACGGTGCAAAAGCGATTCATTAACATTTTTAATTCTCTCATTATTTCAAGCGAGGCGTCTGCCATAATGGTGAGATCATCTGCAAACAAGGAGTAAATTGGGACTGCCTCTTCCAAGATAGAGGTTACCCATATTCTTTGAATTTTCTTATGTGTTCTCAGATTTGTTGTCAGCGCCTCCATGATTATAACAAATAGAAACGGGACGATCGGGTCCCCTTGGCGTACCGCGTTTTCTAAGCAGATGGGGGGGGGCAGCCTGCCATTTACCTGCACCCTCGTTGTGGCACTATGATGCAGGATCTCCACCCACCTCCTGAAGCAAGAGCCAAAGTTGAGTTTCTCTAGACATTTGTCAAGGAAGAACCAGTCAACGTGGTCATAACAAGAACGAAAACTAGTCTGTGCAAAAACTCCTATCATACCATCGTATCCCAGTCAGGAAATTCGAGTGACAGTTTGAGCTGATGCCAGTTTCACAACACTTTGTCGTGGCAGTTGTGTCGTTTTGTGTCAAGCAGTTGCATCGTTTTCTGAAAGAAACAGTTCCAAACTTCCAAAGTGTGAACAGTTCGCAGCCTGTAGTGGGCTGCGTTTACCACCCTCGACTTTTGTCGTTTTGTGTCAAGCGGCATGGTGGTCGTTGGGGGGGTGCTGGTAGTCTAGGCGCGTGATGATCTTTGGGAAGGTGGCAGGACTAAGAAAGAGGGGTTGGAGTGGTAAGGAATCCGTCGGCGACCTGAATTTATGGACAACGCCCGGAATTTTGAGGGCAGGCCACTGGAGACCGGTTGCTCATGTGGATGGGTTTTGAAGGGGTTCAAGGGTTGTTGTTGTTTTTTTGCTTTGGATTGGCTGATTCTGTTTAATTTTTTTTTATTTTTTTTAAGGCGACGACCTTGAGATAGGATCATCAAACTGACCGGCCCAAGGTAATTCAAGATTGTTTTATTTAAGTCATTTGACTTCCGTGGAGTTTGAACTGAGGTTTGTATTTCAACAGTTCAGGGGTGTACCAACTGAGCTCCCCATTGGCCTCATGTACCTTCCTGGGCAAGCTTGGCACCCACCACCTAGAGATAGGTCATTGGTCCCCCCGAGTGGCATTGAGCAGAGACTGCTGATGTTCATAGGGAGAGGGGACCGGAAGGGAGGCACAGCAACTGGCCCATCGAAGAAGCTCGGTCCTGATGCTACAGGCAGACCACTGGCCGGTATCGCCCAGCTGCTGTAGCAGGTATCGCACCTACTGTGGGTGCAGCTCCCGCATGTTCCCTCGTTGGAGGCTTGAGCACGGATGTGGCTGCTACGATAATACTATAATGATAATGAAAAAGGCCTGAAAGACTGTCCTGTCCAGGTTCAACAGGTAATTGGGCTTAAATGAATTAGCGTTTAAGAAAAAAAAAAAAAAAAGGAAAAAAAAGCGTCTGGCTCATCCCATATGGCTGCAGCATAAGATGTGAGGGAAACTGGGGCCCATTCCCAGCTTCATATAAGTGATGACCTCCTTCCTTTATTTTATATATATAGTTGAGTTACTATTATGGCCGTATTTGGTGCAAATTTTGCATCTAAAATAACTGACGGCATACTCACACGGGGGGACCTGATAACCCGAACAATCCCATTTTCTTAGGTAGTATTGTAGTCTCATGGGGTCCTTGTCAGCCGCCTGAGGGGCCACGAGAGGACCCAATTTGAGACCACCTCCAGAGGTGGTCTCAAATGTCCTTTCTATCTTTCTATCTTTGTTCCCTTCTTTTTCTCTCAACTTCACCTTTCACTAGTATCTACCACTCCTCCTAAGCCTATACAGGGGATCCCTGCAAACATAGCTACCTCTTACCAATAAGGGGATGCATGCTGCCCCCCACCCTAATCCGCGGTGGGGCTGGCCGCGAGGGGGAGGCGGCCAATGCAAAGACCAAGCATTTTGCCAGTAGTTGCGCCTCCCATCTACTTCCCCCACCGGCCATCACGTAGCAGCAGTGGCTATAGCCAACACTCCCCCACACACCACACACAACCCACTTTTCCATGAGGGAATTGAAAAGATCCATCTATGAAGAAAGAAACAACAGCCCCAAAACAAGTGGAAGGCTGGTTGGCGATATTAGCCCTTCTTTTTTTGTTTTTGTTTTTAACTCAAAGACTCCCTCCAAGTGCTAGTGGTGCTAGCACCTGGGGAGAGGCACCATCTATTGGTGGGCAGCATCACCTGCTGAAAATCGGGTCCAGCGTCCCTTGTACAGAATGATTCGGAAAACAGTCAGAAAAGTTAGGAGAAAAATCAGTAAAGTATCTGGAAAAAACCTGCCAGCATTGATCACTCTGGGTTCAGAGGATTAATTGAGCAGTTTATTGAAGAGCACTGCTGATGTCAAACTTCTCCCCTCCAGCTGCACCCGTCCACCCTGTCTAGCCTTCCTTTCTATGAAAAGCATCTATCAAAAGAAGCAATAAGAGCTTGATTCTGCACATAATGGGGTTAATCCTTCCTCACTGGGGAAGCAATCAATGCCTTGTGATCACAGGGAAGCTGTCTCCAGGGGAGCAGTGGCTGAGGCTCTTCCAGCCCTAATGGGACAAAGAGTGCGTATAAGTGTTGTAATCAATTCATAATTGGAGCCTTGGGCACAGGGTCCTTTTTCAGTGAAAAAAAGAGAAAAAAGAAGCAATCTCCCACGGGCCACAGCTGAAAACCGGGTCCAGCTGCCCATACATGGGCCGCGGGCCTTCACCGTTAACGCGCCGCAGTTTTCGGGGTTCGGGGAAGGCCCCGCAGTGCAATGGAGGAGGACATGCGTGGGCCCACAGAAACGGGGCAAATGGACTGTAAGATGTCATGGTGCTGTGCTATGTGGAAACAGGCTGAAGGCGACCAGGGGGACAAGAGAAAAGAAAGGAAATCGTTGTTTTTCTTTCTTTTTCTTTTTTTTTGGAAGAAAACTCATTTTTTAATGAGTGTACGCCAGCCCTTCCGATTTCAGGGATTCCATGTAGCGTTAACACTTCTTAGAATGTATCTGGCTGCACTTGTGGGCACACTGGACGAATCTGAGGGCAATACGTTCCCCTTTGTTTTTTTTTGTTTTCGTTTTTTTCTGAAGCAGTATCTCGGTTGTTTGTGCTTTTGCTCCCCGGGACCTTTTTTTACTTGCACCGTTTAGTTGAGGCAGCTCGACGGTGCTACAGCTAAAAAAATTCATTCTAATTCAATTTCAAATGAGAAATGCATTTATAAATGGCACGAATACAATTGTTCTGGTTTTTCTTTTCTTACAATTGGAGTGGCATACGGGCACTTCCACAGCAGAAAATGAACAGTTTCCATAATCCCGTCCCGGTACAAAAATGGCAAATGGAAGGAGGCTCGCCTTTTGGGGGAACAACAAGGTCGTTGAGCTAGCTGTCTCGAAAAAAGGAGACACCTAGCTCAACGGAAAGTGGCGAGGGTAGGGGGAGAAGTGATCGAGAGAAAGGATTTACGTCTGCTTTTTGTTCATGGAATTCGAGCGTGTGGACCCTTCTCCTTTCGACATCCTTTCTCTCCCTTTCTGCACGTGTTTGCTGATTAAGGCGCCACAAGGAGAGCGGCTGGAGATGACGGCATAGGATGCATGGTCTCCTCTGTCTACTTTCATCTGCCCTGCGAAGTGGTGGACTCAAGTCTCTGCGGTAAGCTTGAACTCCCTGGAGTAGCTCGTTGGCAGGCTCAACGAGATGTTGCCCCACCATCCCGATGTTGGAGAAGTTTAGGGGGATGGCCGATTGGTACCTTCGTTTGCCTCTGTTGGTGTTATGGCAGGCCCTTGAGGTCGGTAGGGCAGGTAAATGGAGGGAGTTTTGTTCTTCCCTCCCGAAGATGAAGGGGTTGGGTTTGAGTGAGGGTGGATGAAGGGGAGACAGAGGGTTTTTTCTTCTTACATGATTTTTTACGAAGTCACACAGCTGCAAGAAAGGAAGGAGGGTAGCTTCCCCCAGCTCATAACCATGATTTCCTAATTCACGTGTACTAATGATTGATTCTATAAGGGGGGATAATCAGAAGATCTCAGTTCACGATTTCTTGATTCGATGTCTTTCTATTGTTCATTGGGTGCTCTTCTGAATTGATTCGATTTCTTTTTATTGTTCATTGGGTGCTCCTCTGAATTTCTCAGTTTATGATTTCCTGCTTCGTTTTCTTTTTGCTGATCAATTGGAATTTTCCTGATGATAGACATGCTCGGTTTAGACTTCAAACCTCGTATGGGAATTCCTATAAAAGCTTCCAAAAAAAAACTTCTGATTCTTGAATTTTTTTCCTATAAAAGCTTTTAAAAATATTCTCGAAATAATTTCTTATAAAAGCTTCTAAGAAACTTCTGATTCTACAACTCGAAATATTTTCCGAATAAAAGTTTCAAAAAACTTCTGCTTCTCGAAATATTTTCCTACAAAAGCTTCTAAAAATATTTTCGAAATATTTTCCTATAAAAGCTTCTAAGAAATTTCTGAAAAGATTCTTCAAATAAATTCCTATAAAAGTTCTATAAACGAAATATTTTCCTATAAAAGCTTCTAAGAAATTTCTGAAAAGATTCTTCAAATAAATTCCTATAGAAGTTCTATAAACTTAGATAATTTTGATTTTGATCAAGGAAGGAGGGGGGGAATTAAAAAGGGGAGGATGGGAGGAGGAAAGGTGGCCTTCAATCAGAGGATGGATGTCGGGGAAGGTGAGTAGGTCAGGAGGACGAGGCTGGGATGACATGGGCCGGTGCTGGAGCTTGGCTCTGTGACCCACGGGGGAGCTTGAGGCCCATGGAATTATGCCGAGGGTGGAAGGCATAACCAGATCGTCCAACACAAGCGGCGCCAGGGTTCTGACCCTGTAACCTGTGTAGGGGTTTGTCGCTATGGGAATTGTCGAGGGAGGAAGGCACTTCCTATCCGATAGAACTAGGTTGGTCGGTACTGGGGAAGGTTGCGGTGCCCTGTTACCCATGCAGAAGGGGGTATGAGACCAAGTGTGCTCTGGTTCGAGGACCGAAAGTCGAGACCGATGGCTCCTTTGTTGAGGGGGGGACTTTAGGATGGTTGGTATTTAGTTTTGACCTCCCCCCCCTTCTTTTTTTCTCTTTTTACAGATGGCTGCTCGGGGGTCTTAAGAATGCTTTTGGGCTCTCGGGATCCCTAGCAACTTTTCTCAGGTGGTTTTTGATGCTGTTATACTCAGGGACCTGTGGCTGCTCGATGCCAGAACGACGCTGGCCGGAGCTGGGGTGTTACCCTGTGACCTGTGATGCAGGAGCATGAGGCGTGGTAGAG